AGAGAGAGAGAGAGAGAGAGAGAGAGAGAGAGAGAGAGACAGAAAGAGAGTGTCGAGAGTCTTGGTGATGATTTTTGTCTTACGATCTCCGTCTCGGCTCGTGTTATTAATCATGCGGTCCTAATCATTCGCGCGATAAGTAGCGAGCGGCTGCTGCGGTGGCCGGCCACGGCCAAGCTCGTCCTTGGACTCTGAGGTGTCTACGACCCCGTGAGGGGCTTTACACGCCCTTAGGCTCGCCTCTGCAAAGGTGCAAAAGAACGTGAGTTCGAGAGAGGGAGGCATCTCGAGACGCGAGATAGGCGTTATCGCGTTCTTCCTCATGTCGGATGACGTTCTCGTGGGTTTCTTTCTTTCTTTTTTTTTTCCGTTTGTTTCCGTATCGATAGATCGAGTCAGCGACTGGTCCGCAGAGGCACGAGTTAAAAAAGCAACAACGTCGCATTCGTACGTCCCGTTTTATTAGTCATATCTCATTAGGGATGAAATTGAAATTCTCTTTCGGGCGAGTCGTTGGGGGAGAGTCTTTTTCTTTAACACGTCCTTTCGAGATTCCCTGCGCCGTCGATAATGCGATATGTAAGAATGACATGATATATGTAATTTCATCTCAGAGTATCTCAGTTCGCGCGCGGAACCTGGTTTTTCCCTCCGTTCGAGATACGCGAGCACAGTCTCCGTGGGGTGAAGGCGTGAGGTGAGTGGCGACGAGGCGAAGAGAAACGCAAGTTTTAAGTTTTTCCTTTGCGCCGCAAAAAGGCGGAATAATACACAGTCGGAATGCGCGTGATAGATCGAAGTGACCCAGAGAATGCATACCACCAGCGGCAGATCTCCCAGAGACATCGCCTGAGAGGTCGCGGAAAAGAGGGAAGAAAAGAAATTCCAAAGGGATTCACTGTAAAATATATTTCGAAGAAAGAACTCTCTTTCCGCCGTTCTTAAAGAGAAATTTTTTCAGAATAAAATCAATTGCGAGAATTAAGAGGATCGGTAAGTATAACATATTTCTATCGAATTTTTTTCTGCCGCTCGCGTAAGCGATTCTTATATCTAGGACACACACTCGATGCGCACGCTCTTCAGGGTTACGATACAGACGGAGGGGTTGTTGGGG